GACACATAAATGTAAGCATTTTTGGCATTAATAAAGATTTTAACGAAAAGTAATCATTTGTTTTATGTTACATTCAATCGTGAGTTCATATTTACAGTCATGTTACTCAAAGAAATGTTTGCAAAAAAATAATTACTGACTGCACGATAGTGCCACAACATACCGGTATTTTCATGTCTGATCAGGGCGATAATAACCACCACAGACATATTGAGGAGGGCTAGTACCCTCATTAATTCTAAATCGCTAAACCCTTTTCTGAAATATTGCCAATTCGAGGGAGATAGGGGAATATTTTCACCCCTACCCCTTGACACTCTGTTTCAAGGGACAAGGGGAAGGGGTAGGCGGAGGGGAAGGGGTATAAAATAGAATTGGGATTGGGCCTTTGAAATAACTTCTCACAAGTGCTGACAGCTGTTCAGCCATTTTGGCAGACAGCTTCCATTTCGAAATGGAAACTGTCCTTTTTGGAAAAACTAAACGGATTTGAATGGCCAGCAAGAATCAATGTTTCTAGCCTAAAGAAAAGTTGCCTGCCCCCTACCATCTATAATCTATACCAACCCAGCAGCCTGTCAAAGGAAAGGGAATTTCTGATTTTTTCCAACTTCAACAGCTGACTGTATTTAACACTACTTTGTGTAAAACCTTATTAGGTCTTAATGAGGGAAAACAGCATCATACAGTGATTAAGTATTAAAAACAAAGTATAATGGTTTTAAGATTTAATTTAAGAACTTCCTCTAGTTGGCTACGATATTTTGGCCATTTGTAAACATTAAATCACACCTCTTTTTTTTCCCGTAATTTCAGACCTTCAAATCTGTGGCCTTATGCACAAGTGATAATCTTAACCAAAAGCTCGAACTCGTGATTAATCACAATTAGTGATGGAGAATTTATCCAAGCTTTTATCTTTCAACCACAAGATATTATTCATGTGCACTCTAAAATTGGTAAATGCCTGGTTGCCCAACACCAGCCCACTGTAATAAAGAGAGACAAGCAGACATTCAAAAGAGAGTAAGCTTTTTTTCCTCCCTTCAATAAACATGGACACACGGCATGAAAAATACAGCAAAGGTCACAAGAGAGATCAAAACCAGGGACAAACAAAGAACACAAGTCTCTGAATACAGTCTGATCCAGATAAGAGATGTTGGGGCAGATAACGAACATCTAAAAGAACAGAAATTCAAAGAAAGCAGAAACAGAACAAGGCTTAAATGGAGAAACTGAAACTACAGACACATACGTCTCTGTAAATACGTGAAAAGAGAAGTGTACACAGAAGATCAGAGAAGCAAGCAAAAAAAATATGGACAGTCAGAGAAGACGAAGAAGAATTTCTTGAAGTCACAGTCAGCCGCAGAACAGTCCAGAAACTCTTTATCTGTAAATAGACACCAATGGTAAACACCTCATGACAAAATTTCTACATTTCAGAATGAGCAAACCGAACATGCAAGTGTTAAGAACAAACGTTAATTCTAAAATCAATAAAAGCCAAAGCTCTAAAAAAAACCTCTCAAATCACCAATTTAAGGTTAAAAATCCTTAATATTATTAACATGAGCC